CTCTCTCCATCTCCCTCTCCCTCTCTCTCTCTCTCTCTCTCTCTGTGTCTCTCTCTCTGTCTGTCTCTGTTTGTTTCTCCTTTCTTTGTGTTTCTCTCTATTCTCTCTGTCTCTGTGTCTGTCTCTGTCTCTGTCTCTGTCTCTGTCTCTCTCTCTCTGTCTCTCTCTGTCTCTCTCTGTCTCTCTCTGTCTCTCTCTCTCTGTCATACTCTCTCTCCCACCCACCCCCCATACCCCCAGAAAAAAACGCCACCACTTTGAGGTCGAAATCATTTTATTCTGCGCGAGAAATCTGTGAGTAGAGGACAGCTGAACAAACATTCAAGCAAAACAGATCGATGAAAAAGTTAAAAGCTTCTTCTCTACAAGAAAGCAAATAGATTCAGCTCAAACTGAAACCAGGAAAAAAAATGAACCGCTGTGACGTAGCAGAACATTAATCTCTCGCGTTTCGACCAGCGCAGTTTCTGACGCAAAAGTCCACCTGTGTCCTAGTGAAACGTTCATCAATCGTATTTTGACCATTGCAGTATGTTACACAAAAGTTTAAACTGAACCGAGGAAACGAAAAATGAACCTCTGTTACATAGTGAAACATTTATCTCTTGTATTTCGACCACAGTAGATACAAAAGTCCAACTTTGGCATAGTGAACCATTCATCTCTCATATTTCGTTTACTGCACTATACAATACAAAAGTCAACCTGTACTGTGACATAGTGAAAAACAGTCATCTCTCGTATTCCGACCACAGTAGAATAAAATACAAAAGTCCACCTTTGACCCCAGTGAGCCATTCATCTCTCATATTTTGACCAATGCAGTATATCACACAGAAGTCAACGTTAAACGTTGTGAAAAATATTCATCTGTTCGTATTTCGACTCTGTAGAATGGAATTCAAAAGTCCACCTGAGACCTAGTAGTAAAACATTCAACAGTCGTATTTCGACCGCTCCAGTATATCACACAGTCAATCTTAAACGTAGTGAAAAACATTCATCTCTCGTACTTTGATCACTTCAGTATGTGATACAAAAGTTAACCTGTTCTGTAACCGAGTAAAACAATTATATATCGTGTTTTGACCAGTGCAGTCTGTGACAAAAAAAATCAACGTTCATCTATCGCATTTTGACCCATGCTATTTGTCGTACAAAAGTCAACCTGTACTGTGAAATAGTGAAACACATTATTCATCTCTCGTACTTTTATCACTGCAGTATGTGATACAAAAGTCAACCTGTTCTGTGACCGAGTAAAGCATTCATCTATCGTATTTTGACCAGTGCAGTCTGTGACAACAAAAGAAAAAATTCATCTATCGTATTTTGACCTATACAGTTTGTCATACAAAAGCCAGCCTGTACTGTGACGCAGTGAACCATTCATCTTTTGTATTTCAACTGCTGTAGAATGCTATACAAAAGTCCACCAGAGACCTAGTGAAACAGTCATCTATGGTATTTCTACCAGTGCAGTATAATATGACACAGAAGTCTAACCTATGACTTAATGAAAAACATTCATCTCTCGTATATTGACCGGTGCAGTGGGTGGTTGGCGGGTGCTCTGGTGTGGTTTTGCTCCTTCTTTCCTATCAAACATCTATCGTCCTTATCTCCCCTTTTTATGTTTGTTACTTCAAGAACCACAGACGCCATTTCTGCAACGCAGGACATAGTGAAGTGGAGGTCCATGATCGCTCACGTCAGTCGGCAAGGCACCGGATGATGATGATTCTCTTGCAACACCTCTAATCTTCTGGCGCTCATATGACCTTATGCGGTCGCGAGCGCCGTAAAACCTCTACTAAAACTAAAACTGACCAGTACAGTATGTAATACCAAAGTCCACCTACCTTCATTTATCGATCGTATTTTGACCAGTGCAGTATGTAATACAAAAGTCCTCCTGTACTGTGACGTAGTAAAAAAACAAACCCATTCATATCTTGTATTTTGATCACTGCAGTATGTGACACAAAAGTCAACCTGTGACCTAGGGGAAAAACATTCATCTTTCATATTATATTGACCAGTGCAGTATGTAATACAAGAGCCCACCTACATTTATTTATCAATCGTATATTGACCAGTACAGCATCTTATACAAAAGTCCACCTACTCTTCATTATCAATCGTATTTCGATCACTGCACTGTGTCCCACAGAAGTCTACCCTATGACGTAGTGACACATTAATCAATCGCATTTTGACCATTGCAGTATTGTAATACAAAAGTCCACTTGTACTGTGACGTTGTAAAAAACATTTATCTGTCGTATTTTGATCACTGCAGTACATGACACAAAAGTCAACATTGAGTGAGTGAGTGAGTTAGTGAGTGAGTGAGTGAGTGAGTGAGTGAGTGAGTGAGTGAGTGAGTGAGTGAGT